TAAATTGCACCCAAAATCAACCAATTCCGAGAGCTTTCTGATCACCAGTGTTTTGAACTGTGTATCTGATAGATTGGCTATTTCTTGGTCGCTCAAAAGGATGAGTCCTGGGGGACTGACCTGTTCTGTTGGAAACATGTCTTATGTCTTTCCCTGTCTCTCCTCCCCCGGTCTGGTCGCGCCTGTTACGGTGGAGGGTGGAGCCTTAGGTGTTCACGAGGGCTGGGCACCCCAGTCGCTAGATTGTGACATTATATTTGGGGGTGGGGGCGGGAGCGGGGACGGGAGGGAACAATGGCGGTAGTTCTGTTCTCCTGGGCTCAGACTCTTCTCTGGGATCCTGGGCTGCGAGCTCTGCCCTGGTCCACAATCGCCGCCTCACTGGGTCCACCAGCCGCAGCTTGCGTACTCAGGGATCCCCGCTGCATTCTTGCGCCCCAGATGGCTGTTGCACCGATTTCGCGCCAACTTTTCCCCAACCTCCGCGTGCCGCCGACCTGCGCCAGCCCCGTGCCCGCCCGGCTCGTCGTCTCCTACCAGTCTGGATGTACGGGTCTACTTCAACTTCTTGGCTGTGCGACTTCCATTCAGATAAATCCTGTGTCAGTTCTGAGTGTTATTCTGTCTGTAAATTATTGTTGTTCTAATCTTGGTTGTGCGAGGAGGTACGGTGCGTCCACCTATTCCTCCATCTTGCTGGAAGTCTCTATTAATTTTTTTTAAAGATTTTATTTTTAGAGAGGGAGGGAGAAGAGAAACATTAGTGTGTGGTTGCCTCTTGAGTGCCCCCTACTGGGGACCTGGCCTGAAACCCAGGTATATGTCCTGATTGGGAATCAAACTGGCGACCCTTTGGTTTGCACGCTGGCACTCAGTCCACTGAGACATACCAACCATGGCATCTATTAGTTTTTTTAAAACGACAAAATATAATGAAAACAGTTTTCAGGTTCTTTTTTTTAAGCATATGACTTCTTTTTAAAATAAAATCTTATTTGGATGCCCTATATGTAAAACAACTTTCATGGTCCTGTAGTTCTTGGAGTATAGTTTAAAAACCATTGTAATAAGCCCTGGCTGGTGTGGGTCAATGGATTGAGCTCTGGCCTGCCAACCAAAAGATCACAGGTTTGATTTCCAGTCAGGGCATATGCCTGGGTTGTGGGCTGGGTCTTTATTATGGACGTGAGAGAGGCAACTGATGGATGTATCTCTCACACATCAGTATTCCTCTCTTCCCCTCCTTTTTCCCTCTCTCTAAAAATAAATAAAATATTTAAAAACCATTGTAATAAAATCTTTAGGTAATTACATAAGTAAATACTGACAAAGATGGTGCTGCTCCTGAAATTAAATTTCTGACAAGCAAGCAGTATCATATCATCTATTGTACTAGATCATCCTGCGTGGTGTGAGCCCAGCCCCCAGTGGCAAACATTTACTGCAAAGCAACTTCCTAAAATCCATGTTAAACCTTCTAAGGATGAGTGTAACCTGTTCAACCCCTTTTGCTTTTTCATTTGCAAATATCCCTCTTCTGTGATGTGATTAGCAGCATTGATTCCTTTGTTTTCTGTAAAAGGTAACCACCTAAAGCGAACCTGTGCATGGTGAATGAGGACCATCATGTAATTGGTGGAGGTCCCAATAAAGGCCTGTCAGTGTTACAGGGAGGCGGAGGCTTTTCCTCCCCTCAAGAGAAAAGGCATGCTCCCCCTCTTTCCTCCACCGGACTCGGTAGTCCGTGTGAATGTCTCATTTCATCCATAATGACGTGGACACTATGTATAGCTTGAAATGTTTATTACTAATGTATAAATGCCAAATTTAATATAGGAAAAGCATTTGGGGATTTTTGTACCAAAATCTTTTTTGCTTGAGAAATGGAGACACGTGTATTTAACCAACTGCCAGCCTGTGTCACAGGCTGTTATTATTATTTAATAATAATAATATTATTATTAAATAAAATTAAATTTCTGAACATTTTCTAAAATTAAATTTCTAAATTTCTGGCTATTATTATTTTTTAATAATTTTTAAATATATTTTATTGATTATGCTTACAGTTATCCTATTATCCCCTTTCACTCCCCTCCACCCTGAACACCCCCTCCCACCCACATTCCCCCCCTCTTTAGTTCATGTCCATTTGTCATAAGTTTTTTAGCTTCTGCATTTCCTATACTATTCTTACACTCCCCCTGTCTATTTTCTACCTACCATCTATGATACTTATTCTCTGTACCTTTTTCCCCCTCTCTTCTCCTCCCACTCCCCTGCTGATAACCCTCCATGTGATCTCCATCTCTGTGGTTCTGTTCCTGTTCTGTTTTTTTGCTTAGTTTGTTTTTGTTTTAGGTGTGGTGGTTACTAATTGTGAGTTTGCTGTCATTTTACTATACATGTATTTTATCTTTTTCTTAGATAAGTCTCTTTAACTTTTCATATAATAGGGGCTTGGTGATGATGAACTCCTTTAACTTGACCTTATCTGAGAAGCACTTTATCTGCCCTTCCATGCCAAATGAAAGCTTTGCTAGATAGAGCAATCTGGGATGTAGGTCCTTGCCTTTCATGACTTGGAATACTTCTTTCCAGCCCCTTCTTGCCTGTAAGGTCTCTTTCGAGAAATCAGCTGATAGACTGATGGGAACTCCTTTGTAGGTAAATGCCTTATCTCTTGCTGCTTCTAGGATTCTCTCCTTCATTTTTAATCTTGGCTAATGTAATTATGATGTGCCTTGGTGTGTTCCTCTTTGGGGGAAGTCCAACTTCTTTGTAACTCTCTGAGCTTCCTGGAATTCCTGGAAGTCTATTTCCTTTGCCAGATTGGGGAAGTTCTCCTTTATTATTTGTTCAAAGAACGTTTCCACTTGTTGCTCTTCCTCTTCTCCTTCTGGTACCCCTATAATTTGGATGTTGGAACGTTTAAAGATGCCCTGGAGGTTCCTAAGCTTCTCCTCCTTTTTTTGAATTCTTGTTTCTTCATTCTTTTCTGTTTGGTTGGTTGTTTCTTCTTTCTGGTCCACTCCATCAATTTGAGTCCCAGTTTCCTTCCCATCGCTATTGGTTCCCTGTACATTTTCCTTTATTTCACTTAGCATAGTCTTCAATTTTTCATCTAATTGTGACCAAATTCAACCAATTTTGTGAGCATCCTGATCACCAGTGCTTTGAACTTGCATCTGATAGGTTGGCTACTTCTTCGTTGCTTAGTTGTATTTTTTCTGGAGCTTTGTGAAAGGTTTTCTTAGGCTCCACCGAGGAAATAAATGCCAATCAGCCATAAAAGTTAAGCAGCATAAAGCTTTTCATTGGGGTTTGTGTGCTCCCAGGCGAGGTTTTCTCGGTCCGCACAGTGGGAGGGCTTAGAAAAATCCGTGCAGGGCAGGAAAAATGGTGGGGTTTTATTTTGGGTTGGCTCTCCATGGGAGCTGAGGATTGGTCCTTTGTGAACAAAGTGGCAGCATATCATTGGTGGTTCCTGACGTCAGCCATCTCTTCCGGGTTATAGTTCAGCTGCCCTTTTGTCCTACCTCACCCATCCTGACACTTTGATCTGTCCTTTCATTTGGGCCTTTTTTTTTGTCTTGTCGTGCCTGTTATGTAGTGAGGGGCGGAGCCTTAGGTGTTCACAAGGGAGGGGCAACCCATGTCCCTGTGTTGTGACGCTGTATGTGGGGCAGGGATCTGAGCGGGAACAATGGCGCTTGCTCCTCTCTCTGCTGGATTTCAGTCACTTCCGCCACTTCCCCCAAGCAAACTGGGCCCTTCTGGTGCTGATTCCCGGGTGGGTGGGTTTGTGTACCTTCTAGGACCCTGTGGGTCTCTGCAACGAACTCTCCTGTGAGGCTGGGAGTTTCTCCCGGCACCTCAACCCCCACAGGTATTTTCAGTCGATGTTTTGAGGCTTTATTTTCCCGCACTGGGACCCCAGGTTGCTCTGTCTGTCTTGCTCCCCAGTTTTGCCTGGTTTATCTGTGTGTGAATGTGGGATTGCCCAGTCAGGCAGCCACCTTGCACACCAGTGCCGCCTCGCTGGTTCTGCCTGCTGTTGCTTCCCCACCCCCACCATGACCCTCTCTGCCCGGCTGCCTGACTCCGTCCCTCCTACTGGTCTGCATGAATGTGTCTACTTTAACTCTTTGGTTGTTAGACTTCCATATAGTTCAGTTTTCTGTCATTACTGGTTATTTTGTTTCTAAATTTTTGTTGTCCTTATTTTGGCTGTGGGAGGAGGCACAGTGTGTCTACCTACCCCTCAGTCTTGGCCGGAAGTCCTCCCTAGATGCTATTATTAATCATGGGAGTGATTGATGTTGGTTGGCTGCTGTTAATAATTATTTTAGGGAATATTTGGGACTTAAGATAATTTGATTTTTAAAAGTTTGATATTTAAAAATAACCATAATGACATCATTACATGTTTATGTAAGTAACATTTTTATTAAAAATAACTTTTCTGCCTGGCTGGCATAGCTCAGTGGATTGAGCATGGGCTGCGAACCAAAGCATCGCAGGTTCGATTCCCAGTCAGGGCACATGCCTGGGTTGCAGGCCATGGCCCCCAGCAACTGCACATTGATGTTTCTCTCTCTTTCTCCCTCCCTTCCCTCTCTAAAAATAAATAAATAAAAAATCTTTAAAAAAATAACTATTTTCTAAAACAAAAAAGTGAGAAGAGTAACATTGTTTTACACTTTTACAAATCTCTGTAATGTTTGTCTAAATAGAAGTTGGCAGAATTCTTTCTTCTGCTTCTGCATTCATTCTGTTGCAATAGCATAGGTCATAGAGCCTCGGGAGAACTCATCCATAAACTTAGGAGATAATGAGGATAGAAAGGCGAGTACCTTCTTGGTATAATAATGAAAGTAAGAAAGGGCTTCAGTTCCCCATCCACGTGTTGCAGATCGTTGCTGCATACCACTCATGAGCCGAAGGCCCCTGGTACGTTGCACGTGTTCCACCAACTCTCTTTCTTTGTTTTGTTGCAGAGTCCTTTGGGCAGAATTATCCAGAGGTAAGAGTGTATAGTATGGTGATTTTATGAAATGGTAACTCACTGGCTTTGTGTTTGAGTGGAAAACGCACTTTGATTTTTTTTTTTTTTTTTTACAACGGAAACATTAAATGTAATGAGATATCTTTTGCTATAATAAGGAACAAAATGTTCAGTTTTGGGGGTGGGCCGGATAGGCAATATTGCCTGAAAATCTCACCATAATGTAAATAATGTAAATCTTACAGTTTGTTGCCCCTTAAATTAAAAAAAAAAGTTGATTAAAAGATCACAAACAGTGCCATTACCTGTATATTTTTTCTAGTTTTGATTGATGCTTTTACATAGTTATAAATCAATATATGCTATAGTGTGCTTTACTTTTTAAAATATAAAAATGATTTGGAATATGAGGTCTTTCCAGAAGGTATCCAGCCATGTAATATGCAAAATAAAGATATTTATTAAAGAAGATACAAGCTACAGGAAACATTGTACATAGGACATTGTACAGTCCCCTTCAAAGTAGGCACCTTGGGACCTCACACAGTTCTCCCAGATGCCATCAGCTGCCCTGTTGTATTTTCCTGAATCTCATTACCAGTGTGAAATTTCTTCCCTTTCAAAGGTGATTTTGGTTTTGGGAAAAGCCAGAAGTCGCAGGATGCCACATATGGGCTGTAGGGAGGCTGAGTCACCTTGGTGATTTGATGTTTCACCAAAAAACTGCACAAGACATGATGCATGAGCGGACATGCTGTTGTGAATAAGCTCATGCTGTCGTCCATATCTCTGGCCTTCTGAATCACCCTTCCCATGAAGGAGTGTTCAAACTCAACAGAAAATTTGATGCAGATTTGTTGCTGTACTTGCTCAGTCATTTTGAACACAACGGCCACACAGTACATGTGCTCACTCACTCATGCTGCCCCCTCTGACTAGTGCAGTGAAGTTGTCACTGTTCACACATGCACATTCCAGTCCACTCTCCTTGGCTGCCAGGTTACATCAATGTCGTGCAAACTATTCTCCTTATATTAACAGTGGCTGGAGTTTTTCTGGACAGATTTTGTATGTTTCACTAAGTCATTATGATTATTTTAAATGGATTGATCACTTCTTGGCCTTTTGGCTAAGATCAAGTATATTTTAAATGGATTGATATTAATTAAATTTTTTTTGGCTTTGCTAATATTATATAGGCTGTTCTAGGGTGTTTGTCTTAAATAATTTTGGGGGGGATAAATTAAAAAATATGATTACTGGGTCAACAGGATGACTCTTTTAATGAATCTTGTTTTATTTGGCCTAATTGCCCTCCAGAGTGTGTATACAAAGTTATAATGGATTGATCATATCTGTTTCCAAAAATTTTGTTAGCATTTATAAATCTTCATTTTGACTAGTTTAATAGGTATAAGAACATACATAGAGATTATTTTGGTGTACGCCATGATTTAAATTCAAGAGAAGTGTCATAGATAATAGAGAATCTTTAAAAAATATTTTGGAGCCCTGACCAGTGTGGGTCAGATGGTTGGAGAATTGTCCTGTAAACTGAAAGGTTCTGGGTGCAGTTCCCAGTCAGGTTTGGTCCCTGGGTTGCAGGTTTGGTCCCTGGGTTACAGGTTCCGTCCGTCCCTGGTTGGGACACGTACAGGAAGCAGCAGATTAATGTTTCTCTCCCTCTCTCTCTTTGCCCTTTCCCCTTTCTCTAAAATCAACAAGCATGTCCTTGGGCAAGGATAAAAATAAATAAAAAGTTATTTTTATTAAAAAATTAATAATCATTTGGATATCTGGGTATTATTGTATGTATTTTTGTGTTCACTTTAATTTTTAGGAAGCTGATGGAACTTTGGATTGTATCAGCATGGCCCTGACTTGCACCTTTAACAGGTGGGGCACGCTGCTTGCAGTTGGCTGTAATGATGGCCGAATTGTCATCTGGGATTTTTTGACAAGAGGCATTGCTAAAATAATCAGTGCGCACATCCATCCAGTCTGTTCTTTATGGTAAGGAATTTTGATATTAATATGTTTGATGTAAGGTAAAGTGGGGGGATGAATGGTGACTTTGTAATTGTCAATCTCATTGTAGACATTTTAATATTTAGAGCATAAAATATCCATACTTTAGTAATAAAATTGCTCAGAGCTTGTGTAGACCCTGAACCCATGCTGTCCTCGAAGCTCCTTTGTGATGAGCAATTTAGTGTAATATATGGACCTATATCAGGCTCTGTCAGATATTTCAATGCTGAACAAATACTTACTAGTTGTAGGTATAGTAATATTTGTGATAATGAAGTTTTATTTAAAATAAAAAATCTTGGTTAGGAGAGAAGCTTGGAAGTCATCTAGCTCAGCCTTGTCCAGGTTCTTGAAATCCAGCAATTGTAGTGATCACAAGCACTTTGAGGAATATCCTTTTCTTCATAGAACTGTGTAGTTATTAAGGCTTTCTATCAAATATTCAAGTTGAACTTTGGTCTAATATAAATTCCCATTGATTTCTTTCTTATTCTCTTAGATGACTATTCAGAAAATTTTATTTTGGGGCAGCACTGGTTTTAAGTGAACTTGAGGCCAAAAAAAGCACCTAGTCAAATCTAGATTTACTGAACTGTTACATATTTCCTTTTGTCTAAAGAGAAACAGCAGAGGTATTGTAAAGTACTGGTTCGGAAGGGGGCCTGAACCCTAGTTTAGGGTTAGCCACTCATGAACCGGTCGTTTTGGGAAAAACTTTTCTCTAATACGCAAAGTGTGCCACCAGCCCTGGCTGGTGTGGCTCAGTGGACTGAGTGCCAAACTGTGAAATAAAGGGTCACCAGTTCAATTCCCAGTCAGGCCACATGCCTGGGTTGCAGGCCAGGTCCCCCAGTAGAGGGTGCATGAGGCAACCACACATTGATGTTTCTCTCTCCCTTCCCCTCTCTCTAAAAGTAAATAAATAAAATCTTCAAAGTTTAATACGAGCCAGCATGATCTCTTGGGTCCCTGCCGGCTCCTTTGCCATTTCATTTGTTTTTATTGTTGTGTTTTTACAATAAAGATTTAGATACATGTATTTTTAACAACTCTATTAAGATAATATAATTCACAAACTAATTTTAGAACTCCTGCCTATTAAAATATATTTTATAAACTAGTGCATAATCATTTATAAAATTATGGAAAATATAGCAAAGTAGAAAGAATTAATGTCTCCCATAGTTCCATCACCCAGATGTTACTGCTGTAAAATTTTTTATAGGTTTCTACATACAGTTTTTAAAAAGCAGAGTTTGTAATTGTGCTGTGTCCTTTTTGTCTTTATGGAAAAGTTTAAAATGTAGTTTACTGAAAGATAGATACCTTTGCAGAGAGAAATAGCACTAACAGTCCAATCTAGAAGTTTAAATAAAAGTAGATGATTTAAAACTAACAATATGTATAAAGCTGAAGTCACTGCCTTGGATAATTTATATACCACATCCAGTATTTTATGTGGACTTGCATTCTTCGGGCAGAAAAAATGAATTGGGCATGTAATGACTTGGCTTTCACATCCAAGCATCACACTGTAAGTAAACTTGAGCAGTCAGATTCCTTGCTAATGAGGACTTACCTATGGTGACAGTGCCATCTATAGAATTATGTAACAGACATGCATCTGAGAGAACAGAAAGAGATGAATTCTAGGATATACAAACATGATTTTTAAACAAGGGGTCAGTGAGACTAGCCTTTCATTTTGAGGTGAAACTGCTCCTATAACAGACCAACAAACTCAACATACTCTTTCTAATATGGTACATAAAGTGTTTGAAATACCAAAGAATTACCTTTTTGGAGTGTGTTGATGTAGGGGGGCTCTGCCTGCAGGCCCCTCTGTCCCTGCACCCCGGCCACCACAGATGAGAATAAGTCTACCAAGACATGATCTGCTTGGGGAGGAAAGGTGGCCATTCTCTCAAAGGAGAAGGGCCAAGAGCCTTTTCTTCAGTGGGCTTTTATTGGGTTCATTTTGCATAGGAATACAGGTAAAGCTCATCAATCATTGTCAGGCAGCAAGGATCAAGCAATAGATAGCATACAGAGAACTACAAGGGCTTTTCTGTGTCAGGGTCTGTTAGCTAAAGGGCTACAGAACTTTGGGAAACAAATTCACTTCCTGCTTGGGCCCTTATCACTTAACTGAGAGCATTTTTAGCAAAGCAGTTTGCACAGGATTTTATGTATTCTTTTTTAGGCCTGATCACTCTGGGGAATCTGCCCTTTCCAGCACAGGGCTGCACTGCCCTCTGTCATTATTTCAGGCTTAAGTTAGGCAGGGGAAGTGAGGCAGCCAAGAGATTAGGAGACTTTTTGCAGACAGAATGAGGACTCCGGCTGTGTCAAAACTGAGGGGCAGGGGTCCATCACCCCCATTTGCTATAGCTCCCCAAGTCTTTCCCTGGGGCCCCTGGTGATCTTGCATGTCTTAGGTCGTCCCTCCCTTGAGGAATCTTACCCGTCATTGGCTAACTGGTCATGCACTGGGGGCCAGGCAGGGTGGAGTAAAAAGGACAGAGGTGGCACCCTTGCCAGTGAGGTAAGCTTTGTCTCCTTAGTGGCTTATGGTCCCAAGGTTGCTCACCCAGCCTTAGCCACGGGGGGCGGGGGGGAGGTGTGATTACAGCTTCTGAAACCAAGCAGGACGGTTTCCAGAATCTCCCCCTTTTTTGTTTATGAATATAATTGTAGTTGTTAAGCCTGTGAAATCTACTGTTTGCTGTTTTTGAATGTGATCTTGAGAAAACAACTTGCATATACATTGTAAAGCAAAAATAAGGATTAAGACAAGGAGGCACCCAAGGGCTACCATGACCCAAACTTGTAAATTCAGTCCATTAAACCAGTTTTTAGGATTCAGCTATTGTAGATTATTGTGGAGGGTCTGGAACACTTTTTGTTTAATTAGGCATTTGATATTACTGAGCTGCTGGTGGGGCTCAAGCTGGAGCTGAGCAGTCTGTCCTCTGAGACTGGTAGAGAATGCGCCCTCCAGGCGATGATGAATATCTGCCCAGGAATGCTGACTGGAATTCCACTTTAAAGGAGTAACACACACTTAGAGAAGTTTGGATCGGGGGAGTCCAGTGGAGCAAAGGTGGGTCGTGGCCAGGGAAGCCTTTTCTGTGATACGGCTTCGCCCTCTTCGCCAGCAGCTCCAAAGGTCATTCTGGAAAATAAACACAAGCTTACCCTCTTCCCCAAGTTAATAGTTCAACTGGGCCTTCCCATTTTCCTTCCCTCGATGGGTCTTTGTATAAGATCAAGGTGTGTGGGACTGCAGGACTGTTTTGCACAAGGTGTTTGTCTATGGGTGACTTTAAATTATCATTACAATTCAAAAAAATGTATGTATATGTTGCTAGCATGGTTGAATTCCTAGGGGATGTTTCCTGACTCCCCCTTTTTTGTTTGTTTAATAAAGTTTTTAAGGTCTGGTGAGCTGTTTCAATCATTGTTTGACCTGTAGGATTATAGGGGATACCTGTTTTATGCAGAATTCCCCATTTTTCTAAAAAAGCCTGAGTGGCTTATGCAGTGTATCCTGGGCCATCATCAGTCTTGATTTCTTGTGGATGCCGTAAGTGGCTGAAGGTCTCCAGCCATTGAGCTCTTATGTTCTTCGCTGACTCCCCGGTGAGGGGAGTGGCATGTAGAACACCTGAGTGAGTGTCTGCTTGGAAAGACAGGCCCCCTGCTGTTTCTGCCAGCTGCAATGAGTTTGAGCAGCAAGTTAATTATCCTGTTGTTTTCAGGACCTGGCAGTTCCTAGGTCTAGAATTTGCAGTGTTTGAAAGACTTAGATGCTTATTATTATTCTTATTTCCTTTCCATTTCCACTTTTCCTGCCACACATGAATGTGGTATCTATCTTTTTTCTTTATTCCTTCTTACCCTTTTTCCTTCATAATTCTACACTTTCCTTTCCTTCACTTTCTTAAGTCTTTCCTTACCAACCATCTACGACTTACTTGAACTTTCTACAACATACAGACATAATCCACATAACATCCCAAAATAGGCAAAACAAGTCTTTTAAAACTTAAGCCTGATTAGATTGATACTATGAAATGAAGAGGGTGATAGTAACATCTGTTTGCTAAATTATTTGAGGTTGCAACCCTCTAGGGTTAATGCCAAAAGTAGGGGGTGCTTTTGAAAGTGCTTGACAGTCTGCACATTCTCTAATAATTTGTTTTGCTTGGGCCTGTGGAACATTAAATTCTTTACAGGTGGCCTATTTTGGTGAAAAAATTAATGAGACATTACCGCAGATTGAAAAGTATTGCTAGTCTGGCAAGGGCATCAGCCCAAGAATTACCCTTTGCCATAGACGGTCTGGGCAAGCCTGAATGAGATCAGATATGAGTAATAAGTAAGGGGTGCTTCCTCATCTAAAAGACTTTGCAGGATGAGAAATAGACTTAGTAACTAAGGCTCAGTGGACCCTTTTAATAGAGCCTGATCTATATGAAGGAGTGTATATACAGTATAACCAGAGTCACAAACTAAGTTAAGAGGCTCTTTGGAACAGTGCTGGAGGGCAAGAATAGCCCCCGAAATTTCCGCCTGTTGGGTGAAGTGCCCTCCAGAAAGAAAATGTTTCCACTCGTTCCCTTCTTTCCAGGTGATAGCAGCTTTTCCCATTTTTCCTAAACCATCAATAGAGATGGTTCTAGCTTTAGGAATAGGAGCGGCATTGAATTTTTCCCCTATGCAGATGTTAAGAGTGGGGAGGTTTTGGAGAAGTTCATCAGAAGGTAGTTGAATATTAAGATCCCCTACAAAATCAGTGACTGCACACTGAAATTCTAAAGATTGACTATAAAGTTGTAGATACGCTTGGGCGAGTGGAACATGTGTAACAGCTGGGTCATGGCCAAAAAGCTGAATTACTCTATCATGGCCTTTCATAATAAGCTGACATAGCGCAGTAATATAAATGGTATAGTACACTGGGTTTGATGGGACAAAAA